AAACAAACAACTTCAGATAGAATAAATAAACATTTACCTGAAGTTGTTTGTTTTGAAAATATATATCTAACAGTTTAAAAGCTTATATTAATCACTGATCAATCTATTATCTTTTTTTTAATAATTCTTTACCTTTACAAAATGTGGTCAAAATATAAATGTAAAATTTCAATCACGTTCAACTAACAAATGTTCCAAAGTTATCAAAATATATGCATAAATATATGTACATCACACCAAACTAACTCTCTAATATCCCATCATAAAATAACAACAAAATACAAAAATCACTTGAGTAATAATAATAAAGAAAAATAAGAAAAACTGCATCTGAAATATTACCTATCTTTAGAAAGTTAATTAACTGACTACAACCTGTTTATGACATAAGGGTTCATATCAGTCTAATATTTTAAAGAAAGAGTAATAGTGTTGCAAGAAGACATGTTAAACTAAGAATAAACAAAGTGGAGTGAGTTACTACATACAAAAAACTATTGGAATCAATCAGTGAATCCTAGAGACTACCGACTACTTTTAAAAATTTCTAGGACAATAACACACCCATAAAGATACATAATTAACTTTCTTTCAGTGTACATAACTATGTTCAATACCAGAGTTTATTGGATATATAAGTTCTGACACTGGTAAAATATTCAACCTTCTCAGGTTAGTTCAGCATTTTAATTATTATTTTATGTTCTTTAGTAGCATGTTCCTTTATCTGAGATCTTGTGATTCAACCACACCATTCTGTAATATCATTACTAACTTCTGATAAACAAGCAAAAATAATTGAACTTATATATATATATATATATATAAATAAAAAAAAGTAGAGAAGCAATCACTAGGAAAAAAAGAAGAAAAGAAAATCACTTCCATTTAAACTTCAAAACCATGAACATCAAAGAAAGAGAGACTATAATGACATAAACTAACCTTATTACCATCTAAATACTGTAGCCTAGCTTGAAGTAATGGAACATGTCCAGGATCTTTACTGATCATGTCCTCATACAAATCATCTGAACATTTGCCCTTCAGCCTGAAAAGAGTGAAACGGTAAAAAACAATTGAGTACAATAAAACATTTGTTCTTAGTGAAGAAGTTTCAAGAAACACATCTAATTGATCATTTATGTTCTTCATATTACTAATACACATTAAGATACATTACCCAATTGTTTTGAACTTCATTACTGTGTTAGGATTTTATTACTAAAGTCAAGTTAAAAGATGACAATAGTGTTCAACTAAAATTAAAATGCAGTTTTTGCCCTAATAAGTTGCTGCTTTGAATATACCATTAAACACAGCTCTTCATCTATTTTTATGAGATCCATCATTGAAAAACAAGTTAAGAGCAGGCAGTCCAGAAGTATTTTACTCTGCACATTTTTAAGCAACATAATAAACATTATGTAAAGTAATGTTAGTGTAATGAACAAATTTCACCCTATGAGTAACACTCTAATAACAGAACACTGTGACATCTAACAAAGTCTCATTATTAACATTTCCAAACATCTGTAGGACAGCACACACAGAAAAAGTATGAAAGTACAGCAAGTAAATGGCTAAAATCCAATATGACAACCTTTGTCACTGACTTAAACCATCTTCAGTAAATCCCACTCCTCATCAGTAACCTTTGGGCTTCATATTTATTTCTCGTATTTCAAACAGCTTGCCTGCTGAATAATTCAGAGGAATAAACTAGTAGCACGACGTTACTGTTTTTTTCCACCCCATTTTTGTTTACTTTTTTTTATAATTTTTTGTTGCCCCTTGCAGACTGCCAGTTGAATTACTGTCATATAATATACACTCAAAAATAGCAACTCACTTGTAAGTATATTCAAAAGCTAAAAATTTGCAGCAATGGAAATAATATGAAAACACACAAGTAATAAATATCCAGGAGCCACAAATAACAATTAGTGGCAACTAAATGGTGAATTTATTAATGGTACAAAACATTACCAGAGAAAATATGAATAAAAATCACGCGTGTGGGATCACCTCGCCTAGAGCCAAGCTCATAAAATTTATAATGAAAGTAAAGATATCGATTTAATTTTAAACTTATATTGTTTCTGAATTAAGCTATTTTCTGTTATATTAATAACATTTTTAATAAAAAACAAACCTCTTTAATCAACAGAGAGTTTAATTTTTCCAGTTTTGTACTTTCAGTACACAAACTAATAACACTATTACATTATATTTTTATTGCTAAGCAACATGACATAAAAGGCATTGTTTGAATGTAGTGTTACCAAAATGCACTGGCTTTTCTATGTATTAGAAGTTGTTAATTTAACTGATTTTTACCAATAATTATTCTATGAAAATGCCACAAACTCATTTCGTGAATGATCTTAATTTTTATTGGCTCACAAAGGAATTTACAAACATTTGAGTGCATTTTTCTGCCTCTTTGTTGGTGAAGCTTGATTTTGCAAAATTTATTTGTTTCAGTTAGCTATGAAATATGAGATTAGGGTATAGTATAGGGTGGGGAAGTAGTACTTGCCTGGTCATCTTTGATGGGCTATACGCTAGTGCATTCTGAAACATTATGTCTTTACTTTAGGCTTATTATATCAACACTCAAATCACTTATAAGGTTTCACAACACTCATCACTTCCCCTTCACAGCCCCCTTGCACCCCTGTCACTAAAATCATAATGGGCAGACAGTAATCGAACCATTCTATCTGGATAAATGCATTTTAACTTTTATGATTCCTCCTATTTCAAAAATCAAGAGAAATCAAGCATGATATGACACACACTGGCTTTTATATAATAATCTGGGGTGTCTTCATTAAATTGTGTCTTGTCAAGTAGCCTTTGGAATCACTTCATCATATGAATGGATTTTTAATCCAATATGTTGTCTGCCAGATTAACACAAAAATATTAGCTAACCTCAGCACAACTTCAACAGATAACACAGTGGTCCCCAAATAGTGGCCTGCCAGCCACATCAGGCCCTCGAAAGTCTAATTCATAGTCTATACTATAATCAGATATTGCTAAAGTAAGCAAAACTGGGGCCCGGCAT